TTGTCTACTTAATTTTTTTTTTTAAATAAATAAACCACCCGGAGTAACCCACTAGGCTTATAAACTAGGCTCATTTACCATGTAGAATCGATGTGGGACAACTCACAAGTGATATTTCAACATGTCCCCTCACTTGTGAGTCCTTCGTAAGCCCAAGTCTAGAGCAAGCCATGTAGAGATATAGAGTCCAAGCCAAGAGCAAGTAGGGTAGAGACCTATAGAATCAACGTGAGACAATTCACAAGTGATATTCCAACATGCCCCCTCACTTATGAGTCTTTCGTAAGCCCAAGTCCGGAGCAGGCTAAGTAGAGATATAGAGTCATTGCAGATTCTAGAATAGACCCGCTCTGATACCATATTATAATGGGGGAAGAGGGTGCAATCGCAACATGTGAAACGCACCATAAGAGGGTGAGCCTATGTACACCATAGTGAGTTTCTATCTCAAAACTAATTGGTGATGAGAGGAGTAGCCATTAAACTTATAAACTAGGCTCATTTGTCTTGTAGAGTCAATGTGTGACAACTGACAACTCACAAATGATATTTCGATATATATAAAAACGATCCATTAAACCAATTGAATCTGGGCCGAACTCCTGATCAGTCGGGTCGGGGTCTGGGTCGACCCACCAGGGTCGCACGTGACACGACACAGATTGCATTTGCAGTTTTGCACCCTATAATACTACCCTACTTTATTTTTTAAAATTTCAAAAAGCACAAACCTCACGAGTGTGTTGAAGGCCACCGGCAAAGGCTGCTGGCCTAAAATATATATAGAGCTCCATTTCTGAGTATAATAATTAAAAAAAAAAAAAAAAACAAAAGAGAACTGCACAAGAACCACTCTTCCTCACTCAAATCCACTCCATTTTCTGTCTCACATTTTTTCCTTTCTTCTTCTTATTCTGAGTTTCAGGAGATTTGGTAATGTCCAGCCGCTGAGGTTTCTGCGTCATTTTTCCTGTAATTTTTTTTGCGCGAATTTTGCGGCGGCTGCGGCGGCGGTTGCTGGCCAACCGATTGATGTTCGGTCGTTTCAAGTGAAGTTCGAATCGGCGGATGGAATCGATCTGGAAGTCCGGCGGAGAGCCTAGCGCGTGGCATTTCATCGTCGCTGTCTACTTCGCCTTCGGGTTCGTGGCTGTGAGGTTTTTCCTCGATAAATGCGTCTTCCGTGTAAGCTCTTTCTCTGTTGGCTTGATTTTCGGAATGTTTTTGTGCTTTGGTTAGATTTTTGCTGAATGATGCATTTACTGAATTGTTGGTTTGTGTTGGTTTTGGTGATAAACCTACTTTGTGAGGTTTGAAGTCTGGTTCAGTTTGCTGCTTGTTGATACATACTAAACTTCATTTTAGCTTGTAGTGGTGTGCGAAGTGCGATTGTGTAGCTCTAAATTGAGCTATGCGAAGTAGCTTTTGAGTTGTTTTTCAGTCATAGATACTGATAAAATTTCTAGATAACTGAAAGTATTTCACGCTGGGCATATAAAAATTGTGATATATTGGAACAAATAAATAGGTTTGCATAAGTTCGATTAATGTGAGAAAATGTCGTTTGTGTTATTTCTGTGTATGCTGAATATTGATTCTGTCGATATAACGATAACTGAGCTTATAACAACATACATTTTTTAAAAACAAAAAGATGTCTAGATATTTAATGATTCTCTTCATCATTCACTGAAGACCTGCATTTTGACGAGGTGCTGCTTGCAATTTGTTTGGGAACTTGATGTAATAGATAACAAGTGTTGGACTGATGGCCGATTGTTGTTGAAATCTGGTTTCTAATATTCTTATGGCAAGAGAGGTAGCGACTAGTTAGATTTCATAGCTGATTTAGCCTCGTAACTTGTGGCATTGCTCATTCTGTGTGTTCCCTTGTTACTTTTGAATAAATTGGATACCTGTAGTTCTCTGACTACAGATTGATCATATATGCAATGATTTCTGTGAAATATCTGTTTAAGATCTTTTGCTGGGACACTCGTTTTAACTGTATGATTCACATTGGTTATTCTGTGATGTTCTGGTATGGATCTTTCAAACAAAGAGGTTACAACTTACAGCTTAACTGTTCCAGGATTTCTGTAAGACCTACTACAGAAATTCTGGTTATTATTGTTTTACGAAAGTGAGAATATTTTGAAGTTGTGCTGTTTAGAGAATCTAATCTGGATTGTGTACATCTCACTTCCTCATTATTTATTAAAATGCACAAGATAGGTTTTGAAGTAAATGCCCTCCAATTTGCCTTAGCTGAGTCATGATATCTATAACGCCGGAAAATAATCGGGATCTATGTGGCAGTGCTGGTAATCTCTCTGAAAATTTTCTGCACAAGTGTGAATACTGCACTTGTCCACTCCAATTTGCCTGCATTCTAGTTTTGAGTGGATTCTGAAGTTATTCATTGTTTCTGTGAAATAATAACGCCGTGCATGGCACTAGTTTCCTTTATATTAATATATCATAAATTTTCCTTTTCTGTTCCTTTTTCCTAGAGATGTGCTCATATCTGTAGCAATTTTCCTGTCAACATTTGAATTAAATCATATTTGAGATAGAATTGTTTTATTATGTGATCCATACTCATGAGAGTGGCAAAGTTTTATGTGTTTTGATCAAGTACGATGGCGACACGTGATCCACATAGCTGACCCCGCTTAGTGGGATTTTAACGCGTTGTTGCTGTTGTTGTTGAGATAGAATATGCTACGATGTCAAATTTGAGGAATCAATGGCTTTGTAGAAACTAGAAACTATGCTTTGGTAGCTGATGTCAATCATGTTAATTTCTGTTAATGCCTGTTGGAGTCTAACAAGTCAAAATAGTATAATTGATCACTGATGCTGTCCTCACTGCTATGGTATCTTGTGCCTGAGCAATGGTTGATTCATTATATAAAGAATTCCATCATTGGTTGATTAGATACACTTTTCACAATTAATTCCATCTACTGCAGAAGTTGGCCATCTGGTTGTTGAGCAGAAGAAAAACTTTGCTGAAACATGATAAGAAAACAAGTGATAAAATAGTGAAATGTTCCGAGTCCTTGTGGAAGTTGACATACTATGGTACCATAGAGTTTTGTGTTTTGTTAACTGCCTACCACGAGCCTTGGTTCAATGATGTAAAGCAGTACTTCAGAGACTTGCTGGACCAAGAGCTGACGTAAGTGTTGTATCTCACCATTCTCCAAGTGTTCTTTATAAATATCTTTATCGCATTTTTTTCACTCAAGAGAATGTCTTATTTTGTAGTGTCCATTTTTAAGCTACTCCGTGTCTTTTTGCATATTGGCAGTGGAATCCTATTGTGTTCCACACTCTGAAATAAGCATTGTTTTGTGGTTGCATGCTAGAATGGACACATTGTTGTCTACAAATTGCTAATTGGAAGTTTTGTTCCTATTTATAGTTTTGAGTTTGTATTTTTATTAGCAGCGTATTTTTTTATTCCAGGCTCTCTTTGAAACTTATCTACATGTGCCAATGTGGGTTCTACATGTATGGCATTGTTGCACTCCTTGTATGGGAAACTCGACGGAAGGATTTCTCTGTGATGATGTCTCATCATATTGTGACTGTGATCCTGATTGCATTTTCATACCTGACAAGGTATCTTTTTAACTATCTCTTGTTTGCATATTCATCATCACATGGTATCTCTTAACAATCCAACTGGCTGTGGATGCTGAAATGTTGAGACAATAGGTATAAGATTTTGAAAAACCAGTGTGCTAATGGGGGTGATATGAACGTAGAAGGTGCAGGGACAACCATTATTAGATTCTAGGTGCGAACATTTTAGTTTCTGTCGATCGTGGGTATTTATATATTCTTTTTATTTAAAAGGATCATGGTTTATGAATTATGTAATACCAGCCATAAGCAGTTCATTGTTTATTGGCGGAGGCATGCATACTTGTTAATAACCTTGTTGACAGCACATAAGTGCGACTGTTCTTCAACCTAGGAAATCGTTGATCGCTGCCAGTTCAATAACTGATGAGAACATTTGAGGTGTTGATAAGCATTTGCATTATTTTGCCCGCCAGATTTCTTACAAGATATATAGTAATTTCACTCAAGATTTTGATTTTCTTTAGTGCTATTACGACAAGAAAGAGTTTGTTTTTTGTTTTGTTTTTTTTTTACCGTTGGATTTGTTACCTTATAGGTTCTTCCGTATAGGAGCTGTTATTCTTGCATTGCATGATGCCAGTGATATATTCATGGAAGCTGCAACGACTTTTAAGTATGCAAAGATAGAAATCGGAGCAAGTGTGTCTTTTGGTTTGTTTGCCCTGTCTTGGCTTGTGCTTAGACTTATATACTTCCCATTTTGGGTCATAAGAGCATCAAGGTTCGTTTCGAATTCTCTAATGGGTCTGTTTTGGTTTTATGGTTAGCCTCTTCCCATCTGATCACTTTTTTATTTTGTTGCCGCTCAACAGCTACTACTCGGGTGAAGTCATCAACCTGTCGGACCCTTACTATTGGGGGCTATACTATGTCTTCAATACAATGTTATTCACCCTGCTCGGTTTTCACATCTACTGGTGGAAACTTATATGTGCAATGATCATAAAGCAGCTGAAGAGTAAAGGCAAAGTTGGGGAAGATATACGATCAGGTAGGCATCCTTTTTCATTTTCTATGCCCTTGGAATTATTCACCAGTCAATTTGTGTATTTAGTATTTACTATCACTTCTCAATCCTTTGAGCAGATTCAGAAGATGATGACTAGTAAAAGACTAATCCTTCACAGAGTAGTGCACAAGCCCGGGAAAATTTCCCCCTGGTTACGTTTCAGGTTCGATTTTGCTAAAACAACACCCTTATGATTTCAACTTCCCATTCTTTTCATAGGAAAAAAAAATGTAGCATTACCCCCCTTAGAATTGATTGATGCCTCATGTATGATTTTTCCTGTGATTAGCCTTCATGAAATTGGGTGGAACATTTTGCATTAGTCGCCTCATTCTAACTCCCTGTATATAATATCTCACTTTCTCAGTGTTCAGGATTGCGGTCAATCTCATGATATTATCTTTTCATCAACGTCTAGTGCTGGCTATTTAATATACATGTTTGAGTCTATGATTTTCTTTATTTAGCAGTTATTCATTTATTTCTGCATCAGTTAGCTTCGTATCTTGGAGTTTCTCTCGGGATTTTTGATCTTTTGTTTTATTTGCATATTCAATTGCGCGTCTCATTCAGTTGGATGCATGACACATATACAAATATGACGTCATTATAGACAGGTGTCTCACATCGTTATAGAGGTGTCTCACATCGTTATAGACAGGTGTCTCATTCCTTTCTCTTTTCCTCCAATCTCTTCCTTTTGTTTTGTTTTTGTTTCGAGTTTTGTTTTGTTTTGTTTTGAGCTTTTTTTTTTGGTTTCTCTTACCACCGTTTCTCTTGGGTTTCATCTCTAGCTTACCCCAACTTGTTTGAGACTAAAAGGCTTTGTTGTTGTTGTATTATTTTGTGTAATATTTCTATCGATTTTTCTTATTTAATAAAAAAATAAAAATACATGAGGAAGTAGGTCAATATAGAGCATTTCGAATTGAAAATAGTCCACTTAGGTGTCTAGTGCCTACATCTTACTGACGAGAAATGCTATAGATACATAACATTGTACATAGGGGTATACATATAACACTCCCATTGAGTGAGACCTACCAAAAATAAAAAATCAAGTGGACCCTCACTTAATGTGAGTGTTATGTACATCTCCATGTATATTTATTATGTACTTGTAGCATTTTCTTTTACTGTAAGACAAAGATATCGGTCCCGTTTGGAAGATAGCGGATTGAAGATAAATTAGCGGATTGAACTTAATTGAGAGGTTTGACCCGTCAAATCCGCTATTGAGCTTGTTTGGTAAATAACTTATTTGATAAGCTTTTTAGGCCCAAAACTCTAATTTAAAAAAAGCTCATTAGATGAGCTTTTTGGGGATAGATGATTCACAATCTACAATTTTAATTTAGTACTTTTTAATTTTTATTATTTATTTTACAATCTACATTGGTTTATGATGCTAACAAATAATTATATGTCATCCATATATATCTAGAAAAATGTAAAATTCATAACTTCTTAATCAAGTGTTAGTAAATTTAAAAATATATATATATATATTTATAAATTACCAACTAAAAAATATTAAATATTTTAATATATTATTATTAAAAGAATACACGCTAAATAATAAAATGTCCTTAGGTAATTTGCAATGTCAAACAGTTATAAGCTGTCAGTTATTTACCAAACACTTATTTAAAATCCGCTAATGCAATTCACTAATCAAATCAACTAATATAATCCGCTATCTGTTATCCGCTAATACAATCTCAAACAAGGCCATCATATGTGAGTTGTTGTGGTCTTATTTATGAGATGTCACTTATTTACATTTGATTGAACTAATAATACAAGTCATCTCTTTAACAATCATTTCTTCCAATTTTTTTTTGAATTTTTGTCCCAATGTTTGTTCAAAATTTATGGTGGATTTGGCACGCTTAATTTTTAGGTTGCATAACAAATGCATTTATTTCTCACGATTTTGCTATGAATCCAACAGTTGACTCCATAATGGAGTCAACCTTCTGTATAAAACAAGTAAACTTACCATATTCGCTGATTACTTAGATAACACTAATATAATTTTATTAATATGATAGGTTTACTTGTTGTATATAAAACATTGGTTTCATAGCAAAACCGTTATTTCTCATTATATATTTCTGGTCTTATACTAGAGTAACATATTTCATTCCGATGAAGGGACAAAAATAGAAATAACACTTGGTCGGTTGAGCTTCCTGTACCTGCCTCAAGCATATTAAAATACTAGTATTGAAAAACTTAAAAAATAAAAAAATAAAAAAAAATGCACCACTTCTTTAAAAAAGAACCGGAAGACAAAACAGGTTCATTACCTGAAAAGGCAAATTAACTTGAAGCGATCATGTCGTGACTCATGAAATGTTTGTTTATGGCATGTTTTGAACTTGAAACTAATAATATTAACTCTTGAATTGAATCATTTACTGGGAAATACTAAGGTCTCGTTACGAAATTTTTCTGTCGAGATTTGCAACTGCTATCATCATGTAACTGTAAGAGACAATTGATCTAACAGTTACAAACCCTGACGGAATGATTCTGTAACTGGACCGTAACATCTTCTTCAATTATTTTACATGTTTCAATCGATTTTTGTAACCGTGGTTGTCAAAACCGAATTGGATTATCTAAGTGCCCAAATTTATAATATATCATAAACATAGTAATTATATAAATATTATATTGTAAAATAAAAACAACTAGCTATCTTTCACATCAGATAACGACTATCTTTCACCTCAAAGATGGCTTCTACAGTTCTACCAATTTTTTATTTCCCCACGTGCCCATCAAACTAAAAAGCCTTATCTCGAATTAATCAACCTCGCTAACGTGTAAAAATAGGTTACAAAGACTCTGAGCTGGCAAGTGGCAACCTATGTATGTGTATATATATACACACACATACATAACTTACTCAGAAGCAAAATCAAACCTTCAACTCCAAACATGCAGCACTCAGAAAAAAGGACCAAACAAGATGAACACAACACCCAAACCTCCACGACTCCGCCACCAACCACCGTGGAGGAAGTTTTCTCCGTCACCGGAGATATGGAGACTTGCCGGATTTGCCGGATAAACGGGTGCCTCGGCTGCCACTTCTTCACCGGCGATGACGAGGCTGCGCAGAATACGAAGAGGAAAAAGAAGAAGAAGAAGAATAACTATAGAGGGGTGAGGCAGAGGCCGTGGGGAAAATGGGCGGCGGAGATCAGAGACCCGCGCAGGGCGGCCCGTGTGTGGCTCGGGACATTCGGGAACGAGGAGGACGCGGCTCGGGCTTACGACCGTGCCGCTATCGAGTTCCGGGGGCCGAGGGCGAAGCTCAATTTCCCGTTTGCGGATTACACGGGGGGCTCCTCGTCCTCTAATTACCGGTTGGAGAACGAAGGAAAATCATCGTCGGTGGAAATTATTGGTTCGAGCAGTAGTAGCACTCGTAATCATTTGAGCGGGAAAATACAAAGCGAGTGTCGGGAAATGACGGTTGGGAAGGAGGAGATCGAGGAGTGGGTGACGTTGATGAACTCCGATAATGGCGACTCGTCGGATTATGTTAATGCCGGAGATAATAATCTTCGTAATATGTAACGTTGGTGTCGAACATGTACAATACGAGTTTTGGGTTGTTATTCGTGGATAAAAATCGAACATAACTTTTTGTTGTATT